TTTATCACGGGCTGTAATAAAAAACAAGTAGTCCTATACTAATACTAAGAGTAAATAGCCTCTATTTTAGTAGGCTATGTGGCTATGTTACAGCTCCTCTTTGAAGCTCTTGTGTTTTTCTCCTTTTCCATCTCTCCAATCCTATTCTGCTCACAGGTGATTTTTGTAAAATAGCTTCTGTTTTTGCTTTTCAGATAAAAGAGTGGTTTCAGTTTAATATGTTGCAGGCTCATTTATTGGTAATAAATAATTGATAGTAAATAATATTGATGATAATAAATCATCAAAAAAATATTGGGCTTGTTTTTGAAGCAGCGGTTGCTTGTCTCGCGAGAGTTGGCAACAGTGGTCGACGCCTCTAACGTTACGTGAAACCTGCGTCAGTGTGCCGCCTTCTAGAAAACATCATACGGCTTCGGTAAGTGCTCTTCCCTGACTACATAAAAATAGTCGTACATTTCAAACGTTATGTCAGTTAAAATTATTTCTAGTTTGTCGTTGCTTTCTGATTAACCAGACAACAGCTAATTATCAGTCTTTGTTGGCGATCAAAGCTGCCGTTACCACGGTGCGTGGAAGCTAAAGCAAGAAGCTAGCGCTAGCACGATTTGACAAAGCTACACATATAAATTTTAAACTCGACAGTCCTTATTTTCAAGAGCTTATTGCATGTTGAAATCATCAACTGTCGATTAGACTCTAACATAGGATTTAGAAAGAGCATGTTTGTCTTTATGCGGCTGTAGTCAGGCGCTGGCCCACTACCAGCATCTCTGTTGTCAATAAACAAAATGCCCATAAAACCCAGATGTCTATTGATTGTCGTGTGCCACACCTTTCATATGTGAGCGGCATTTGCTTCGTTAAACTTCATGCTGTATGCACTTCAAAAGTGTCAACTCGGAACAGTTTACCAAGTAACTTATTGCTTTATTTCAACAGACACCATGATACTAACTAAAGGCACAAATGCCATGTTGTTGTTGTTAGACGTGTGATAAAAACAGTTATTTAACAACTCTTAAGTTAATCTAGTATAAAGTGTCTTGTTTTATTTATTTTAATAATTAAGTTCACCGTTTACTTTTTTTTTTTTTAATGGGATGTTACATTTCTTGTCAGTATCTAATTTCGTCCAACAATGTGCTGTATTTCTAAGAGGCAGTCAGGAATTAAGAGGAAATGGCCAGTCAGTCCATGGAGGTTGTAGCGAAAGCTCTGGAGCAGCAGATGCTGCAGTCGGCACGGATAGTGGAAGAGAAGCTGGATGGCGAACTGGAGAAGTTGGAGCGCATGGATGAAGATGAGCTGGAGCGACTCAAGGAGAGAAGGCTGGAGGCCCTTAAGAAAGCTCAAAAACAGAAGCAGGTAGCTATTATAGATGTTTTAAAGAAATTTTGGTCTAAATTTGGAACTTGTTTTAAATGTAGTATTAAAATGTTTAATCAAAATGAGTTATCCACATTACAGTGCACTGAAACAGATCAGAACCCCCCACTAGTGTGATTAAACTTTGCGGTCTGTTGTATGTCTGTCCTCAGGAGTGGATATCTAAAGGACATGGTGAATACAGAGAGATCCCAAGTGAGAGAGATTTCTTTCCTGAGGTGAAAGACAGCAAAAGTGTGGTCTGCCATTTCTACAGAGATTCTACCTTCAGGTATTTGAGGACATTTTTTTCTTATACTAACCTTGCATTTTGTATTATAAATCAATTGTGTATACAGATTAGTGTTAATTTTGTCAGCCATTTTTAATTTAGTCTTAGTCTTAGTCTTTTAAATTAGTCTTAGTCCTTTGTCTCATACTTTTTAGTTATCACATTTAGTCAACCTTGTCCTGTTTTTGTCTAGTTGAGTTTTAGTCGACTAAAATGTCTGAGCATTTTGTCTAGTTTTAGTCAATGGAATCTTAGTCACATTTTAGTCATGCTGTATAATGGTTAAACTGATATAAAAAAAATATTTTTGCTCAAAATAATAATTGTAATCAGTGTTGTCATTTGAGAAATGTGTTTTTGCATTTCAGGTAGTGTACTTTCGCCAATAAGCACAAAACAATGAATGTGGAATGTGGATACACATGGTTTATTTTCTATTGTACTGATTTATTATAGGCTATTTATTATAGAAATTAATATCAAAGACTTATGTGCTCTCTTTGACTACATAATGAAAACTAGTAAAACAAGCAAAAAAAAATATTACAACCGTGAAATTCCTAATAGTAATTCCAAATTGTAATAATGTTTCTCTATTAAAACAACAGCGGTTGAGCAAGTGCATTTATTCAGCAACCACAATCAAACAAAATAGTCGAGATCTCATGACAACACAGACCGGCTGAATGACGCTTTCATTTAAGCTGAACATCTCACATGGAGATTTCTAAACGTCAGTTTACTTGTTTGCCGGTGTTTTCAGATCATCGTCGGCACTTCCGCAATGAAGAGCGAGCATGTGGACATGGTTGCCAGATTGCAAAAATTTAGCAAAACATCAGACAGAAAGTATCCTTTTAACAGAGAAGCTCTGATTTGGGGATTTGAACTGTTGCTATCTGGCAAACACAGACATGAAAGCTTGCGTAGTAGAGGTGTGTACAGCAGTCCAATTATATTGGTCAATAATACAGTCCAATAATTATTTTGAAAATAAAAACATATTTTGGTAAAGTTTTTATTTTTTAAAATACATTTAGGTCTCGTCTTTTATCGTCAACGATATTGCATGTTGATATACAGTGGGGCAAAAAAGTATTTAGTCAGCCACCAATTGTGCAAGTTCTCCCACTTAAAAAGATGAGAGAGGCCTGTAATTTTCATCATAGGTATACCTCAACTATGAGAGACAAAATGAGAAGAAAAAAATCCAGAAAATCACGTAGGATTTTTAAAGAATTTATTTGCAAATTATAGTGGAAAATAAGTATTTGGTCAATAACAAAATTTCATCTCAATACTTTGTTATATACCCTTTGTTGGCAATGACAGAGGTCAAACGTTTTCTGTAAGTCTTCACAAGGTTTTCACACACTGTTGCTGGTATTTTGGCCCATTCCTCCATCCAGATCTCCTCTAGAGCAGTAATGTTGTGCGCCGCGCACAAATGATGTTGCTGTCGACCGGCTTACGTCACTTCTTAGTACACACTGTCGGTGCGAATGCAACCCTTTAAATGGTACTGGGAAATAGTTTGCGCAAAATCGTCCCAGTACTTTAGTACCGTACATTTAGTTCTGGAACTAAAGCGGTGCGAAAGGGCCTATAGTCAGTTATCTTTTATTGACCTTATTGTCGTCTCGTCATCGTCTTGTTTTAGTCATGGGCAAAAAGCTCATCAACGAACATTGTGTCATAGTTTTCGTAAACTAAATTAACAAACATACAGATATTTTCAATGTTACTTTTTTTTTTTTTTTTTTTTCAAAGATGCAAAATTTTGGACAAGCATCTTGCTGTTTTGGCAAAGAAACATCTGGAAACAAAGTTTATCAAGCTGAATGTTGAGAAGGCTCCATTCCTAACCGAGAAGCTGAGGATTAAAGTCATTCCAACACTGGCTCTGGTGAAGGATGGGAAGACTAAGGATTATATTGTGGGCTTCACTGATCTGGGCAACATAGATGAATTCCCTACTGAAATGCTGGAGTGGAGACTGGGCTGCTCAGATATCATTAATTACAGGTGAGTGAAGGAGATATATATATATTCTATAGTTAAACACACTGAGGTCAGGCCACCATTCAGGGGTGCCAGAGTGGAAGAGCAGGGCATGCTCAATGTTAAGGGGCGTGTTGAGACGAATCGTGATGTCACGATTCTCCCGATTTATGGGCAAGGATAAAAAAAAATATTTGTATTTTAAACTAGGTTAAGTTTTAAGTTCTGAAACTTTCACCATGTTTTTATTCAAGAGGAACCTACAATAAGAACATTATTGTGAAGTATATGCGTAAATATCAAACATTTTGATTCTCTATTTCATGACCCCTTTAATGTTTTAAAATGTAATTTATTCCTGTGATAGCAAAGGTGAATTTTCAGCAGCCGTTATTCCAGTATTCAGTCACTTGATACTTCAGAAATCATTGTAATGTGCTGATTTGGTGCTCAAGATACATTTATAATTAATGAATAGAAATTTCACAAGAACAGCATTTTTTTATAATGTAAATGTCTTTATTGTAACTTCTGATCAATTTAATGTGTCCTTGCTGAATAAAATTATTAATTTCTGTTTTTTATGTATTTAATTTCGAATAAAAACTACTTTTACATTTCTGTCTTTTCTCGTTCTAGTGGGAATCTTTTGGAGCCACCGACTGTTAGACAGAAGACCGGGTCAAAGTTCACCAAGGTGGAGAAAAAGACCATCAGAGGCAAAGGTTATGACTCGGATTCTGAATCCGATGAGGATTAGAGGACTAAAACATCAAGCTCCGTCTTTCTCAGGGCTTCCTACATAACAGTCCTAAGTCTTGTAACACCACTTTTTTTTTTTGCAGTGTCTATTTAATTTCTTCTGTCTCTCACCTTTGTCCTATGTTTGCCCATTTTAAGATGACTGAATACCACCTGATAGGGTGTTAATACTTCATTTCATTTCTCTTTAAGTTTTAATGTACAGAAGTTAAACTTTTCTATGGAGCATAATTCTGGTGAAGGTTCTCTCTCTTTAGCACTGATTTATTATCGAAGGAAGATTGAGTTTTTGTAAGATGAAACAACAGGAAGCATTTAAACAATAGTGCAAAGACAAAATCAATATTTTTGCCTCTGGTGGACTAATGCTCCGATCAGTGAGCATCAAACAAGTGCCAAGAAAGCAAACTTCTGTATTCCACTAAGAATTGCCACCTCTTTCTCCCATTGATGTGAAGGAAGTGCATTTTTTTTCCTTTTATAGCAGTACATGACTTAATAAAAATGATATAATATGCCTGTTTTGCTCATGTCAATGAAAAATGTTTTTCTGTCTCACTGAACTATTGGTGATTTAAATATTACATCACATGAGGTACTGACATTTGAAAAGCACAGTTTTGTAAAAGAGGAAGATCTGGTAACATTCACATTTTACATTCATGCAGTCGGCTGTCACTTTTATCCAGAGCAACTTACATTTAATTCTAAGTATGTTTAAATTTTAGCAGTTCTTGCTTTCTCTGGGAATGCTCTACTGTTTGAGCTACAATAAAGAAGATTGGTATTCAAATCTTTATTAAACAACAAAAACACCACATAAACGGTAGGCCACAAAACTTTTACGACTCAATAGCTTTCAGCTCAAGTGGGTTCAGGAGATGTTTCACCACCAGCTCCCCTCTGCTATTCAGATAAGTGTTAGCCATGTCTTCCTCAGCAGGTAATCCATAGGGGACCTTGAGAGGCTCAATCCCGCAGATGAAGATATTATTTAAATAAACTTATTCTAATGGTCAGTAATCATGTTAAACGGATTTAAAGTGTTGTGAAATGTGCAAGTCCAACTTACCTAACTAGGTGCTTAATGATTTTGAGTAGATTGTTCACTGATGTATGGAAGCATATAGGTAGCGAAATTCAATTTTATATGCAAAATGGCATTGTATTTAAGTCATTCTTGAGAAGTGGGACAAAACGGGGCAAAATTTAAAAAATAAAACCTTGTACTCAGATAAATGAAACTACATTTATGTATCTTATATGTACTAAGCTACTGAGCTATGCTTTGATACAACCTCCCAACTTTTCTCTTTTTTAACAAAATGTGTTTTTTTTACCTTGGACGGTGTAATATAATTTCAGTTTTATCTTTAACAGCATGCAAGATTTTTTTAACATTTCAAAACACATTCTGGTGTTAGCAGACAGATTACACTTTCACATGTGACCAACAATTCCACAACAAATATAAAATATCATAATGAAACATTATCAAAATATTCAACTGACGGAGGTGACGAAAACCTGAATTTGTAATAATTTTAACTATCAAATACATGGAATCATTCAATTACTGTATTAAAACAAACACAACAAACAGTGAGTATGTTATTGTTTATAAAGCTTTTATTTAAGAGTCACATTTAAGTATTTTGATATATCAGCGTAAGACGCTCAAAGCTCAAGACGTTCGGATAGACGTTCGGTCGTTTGATTTTAGCATGAAGTACGCTTCATATATTTCTCTGTTCACGCGCCACTTCATCTGCAGTGAATTCCACGATCTTATCAGGTCTCGAGCTGCCATGCTTCAAACGATTCCAAACGTAACACGCTTCCACCAATCCCAGCCTTGTATGGCGGGCCAGACGGTCCAAAATTAAGACTAATGACTTGTTGCGGGAAGTCACTATACTATTGCCAGGAGCTACTGAGTTTGCCACGACTCACCTTCCTCACACGGCGGGCGACTCACTCTCCTCACACGGCAGGCGACTCACTCTCCTCAGCAGGCGACTCACTCTCCTCAAATACTGATGGGGTGTACTTGTGGACACGGGGTTCATATGCCTGATGATAAAGAACATGATGTATTGTATTTTTATATTTAATAATTTCTTGATATAATTGTAATTTTAAAAATGGATGACCTTCATAAGCCCCAAACTCTTTACAACCTTCTTTTCCCAATAGGGTTGTTTCATCGTGCTTTTAACTCGTGTTACTATATGCAGTTTATGTGGATATATGCTTGTCATGTTCTTTCGCTCGTTCCTCAAATACCTGAAGGACGAAAATGTGCTGCGAGTCATTACGTTCAATAAACTTAATCGAATAAAACGACGCGAGCACATTTGAACCGTCACAAACCCGTGGAGGAACGCGACTCTTAGTGAATTTAGTGCGACATGATGCGGCTCGTGTCAGATTCTGCGATGAGTTTAAAAAGGTTTTATTAAAACACTTTTTGATGACAGTCATCAAATCAATTATCACGATTTATCCATCGAGGTTAGTGATGAAATGTGAGAGTTTCACCTTTGTGACACTGGAGGCAGATGTTAGAAGAGCTGAATACACACTGACTGGCGTTGACTTCAGCGCTACTTAGGAAGGCTATTAGCTAGCAAGCTAGCTAGAATTAATCATGCCCAGTACAGCACTCAATAAGTGGACTATATAGTGGCCACAACTGCATAAAGGTATTTAAGGTTATTCACTCAAATACCCATGTTATTGCGATATGTTAACGGATAAACGTACCATAACAACTAACTACACTACATCGCATACATGTCAAATATGATGACTGGAAACGGAAACGGAAACGACTCTTTGTTAAGAGCCATTTCAAAATAAAAGTTCCTCGATTCGGAACATTAGAACGATTCATTTCAAATAACCGGTTAACAAGTATTACACGATTCGGCTAGATCGATATAATTTACATTTATATTAAACACCTTGCCTAAATGGACAAAATCGGACGTTCTAAATGTTCGAAAGAGACCATTCTCAGTTCAGCTCAGCTCAGTAAGTTGTTTACTCGGAACGAATCAGTCAGACTGTTTAACAGATTCACAAAAAAGATCCAATTCGAAAGAACGATTCATTTATAAATTGAACATCGCTACTGTCTTCCGCTGTGGCGCCATTCTCATCTTTGACGAAACGCAGAAGTTCGTAGCCTTTCAAGTTCATTGCGATCGTAGTTGAATTGGTGACCTCGCTTCGTTTAGAGACATGGGAAAGCGTGTGGCTGTAGTGCTGGCAGGCTGCGGTGTATTTGATGGAAGTGAAATACACGAGGCGTCTGCGGTTCTGGTTCATTTGAGCCGTCAGCAAGCTACTGTAAGTTATGGGAACCTCCGATTATCAGCTCTAATGTTCTCCACTGTGTAGAATACAATAGTGGAGATTAAAACCAGCACATAATATCATACCAATGCAACGAATATTTGACTAATCTAGAGCACAAGACTAATCAAGTTGATTCTATTTATATCAGATCTCACTTATTTAAACATGGACATCGCACAACCATATGAATGGATTGTGACAGACAAGCTGTCTTTTCCCCTCACATTTGGTTACACTGCACTCTCTTCACTCTTGACAAAGAAGCAGTGCATCTAAACGATTAAATATTGTACATTAGAGCGTAACTTTTGTTTAGCTGGTTTAAAATAATTTTCAGCCTACCTTGTAAAATAGCATTGTTCCTTTACGTTGTACAGGACTTTGGTAACAGAACTAACCTTCCCACAGGTCAAGATATTTGCACCCAACACTGACCAGATGCATGTTGTAGATCACTTGAAAGGCTCTCCAACAGAGGAAAAGAGAAATGTGCTTGTGGAGAGTGCCAGGCTCGCCCGAGGTGATATCCAAGACCTCTCTGAGCTCAACATAAAGGATCTGGATGCCATCATCTTCCCTGGTTAGCACACTACTTCTGGAAGAATGTCCATACACTAATCAGCTCAGCATTTCGTTTAGTATTATTTTAACATTATTTTGCAGGTGGCTTTGGAGCAGCGAAGAACCTGTGTAGCTGGGCTGTCCAGGGTAAAGACTGTGCGGTCAATGAGCAGGTTAAAACAGTGCTGGAGGCCTTCCATGCTGAGAAGAAGCCCATTGGCTTGTGCTGCATCTCACCTGTGCTGGCAGCTAAGGTTTTCCCTGGCTGTGAAGTGACTGTTGGCCATGACAAGGATGATAGGTAAATTGTGACTTATAATAGTTTTAGGAAATATTACGTTTGTGTACAGGACAAACTCTGCAAACATACAGAAACTTATGTTTAATGCAGCTAGTATTCAGTTATGTCTTCAATTTGCATATACACTACTGTTCTAAAGTTTGGGCTCAGAAAGATTTTTTTAAAGAAATTAATACTTTTATTCAGCAAGGATGCATTACTTTGATTAAAAGTGATAGTAAATACTAATATAATGACGGTAAAGATGTTAATGTACTATAAATATTTTGAGTTAGTTTTCTTTTTTTTAGTTTTCATTTTAATTGTAAAGTTTTAGTAATTTTGTTGTTAATCATATTATTTGTTTTTTGAATATGTCTATATAGTTTTTTTCATTTTCATTTCAGTTTGTTATTTTAGTAAATCAAGTTAAATTAAATGAAAATGGGAACTTTTAACTGAAATAAAATAACTGAATTAAAATAAAATGTAAAATAAGTTAACATTTATTTTATTTCAAGTTATGAAAATGCTTTTTTTATGGTTTTAGCTTTAGTTAACCCTGTTTAGAACTGTCTGTTCATCGAATAATCCTTAAATAATGTTCTTGGTGTTCACAAAAACATGCAGCAGCGCGGATGTTTTCAAAATGCATAATAATAATAAAATTATTATTATATTTAAATTATTATTAAAGGCTATAGATATTTGATCAAATAAATGCATCCTTGGTGAGCATAAGAGACGTCTTTCAGAAACATTAAGAAAATCCTATCAATTTGAATGCTAGTGTATCAGTCATTATCATTGGAATGATTTGTCCTTGTTCACAGCAGGAATATGATGGATCTGCAAATGAACCGATTTTAACCCACAGAAAAGGCAGAGCTCTGTTTATACAATTCCATGTGTTTTATACACAATTATCTTTGTTTCCGTAGTGTTAATGAAAGTTTTGTTATTGATACAGAAAGACAGTACTGAGGCATACTGTCTGAATCTTTGGCTTTCAGGTATCCAGATGTTCCAGACACGGCGGAAGCCATTTCTCAGCTTGGCTGCAAGCATATCTGCAAGCATGTGAATGAGGCTCATGTCGATGGGAAAAATAAGATTGTCACCACCTGCGCTTTCATGTGCAAAGCTCCACTGCATGAAATATTTGATGGAATTGGAGTGATGGTACAGGAGGTGCTGAAACTTGCCTGAATTCCTGCAAAATGTCTGGATTGGCCCTGTCTTTCTAATGTTTCTATATAACAATTCCAGCGTCTGAATAAACAAGTAGCATAATTGTCATTGTCTCATTAAGACTGTTTAGATTTAGTCACAGATGAATGATAATGAGTCCAAGCCTTATTTAAATATTTATTGATTCGAAAAGTCAATTATGCTGACATATGAACATCTAACTAGTAATGCTTTTTTTTTTTTTTTTTTTAAGTCTTAAGGTCAGTCAGGAGCACAGATGTTAATTTGTTCGTTTTCTAAATATGCACTATAAAGGTCATATATAAACTACCGTTTAAAAGTTTTTTTTATTCGAAAGTACTTCTATTCAGCAAGGATGCATTACATTGCTCAAATGTGTTGAAATTTGTTTTTTTTTGTTGTTTTTTTTTTAATGGCTGCTGAAAATTATTTTCTAAAACTCATCACAAGAATAAATTATATTTTAAAATAGAAACCAGTTATTTTAAATTGTAATACTATTTCACAATATTAGTTTTACTGTATTTTTGATCACATAAATGCAGTGTTGGTGAGCATAAGTGACTTTTTTCAAAAACATCAAACTTTTCAATGGTAACGTAAATTACTTTATTAGATAAACAACAAATATACAACAAAGGTAATTTCAACATGGAATAGAAAATACAGAAACAGAACAGAAAACAGTGATGTAAAAACAAAAGAGGTAAATGACGTGAATCCTTTCATTCAGAAATGTGAAAATGAACAAAACTGTATTCTCTCTTCATTTTCAGTTTGACAAGTGAAAGGAACTTGCTCGCCACTTTCTGGGGAAAAAAAACTACATCTGATGAAAGAGCTCTATTACTTAATTCTGTATTTGAAAAACTAAAAAATCTGACATTACAGAAATACTGTAGGTTAGCCAGAATATATTCGAAATGCATATCAAATATATAGACAAGGTCCATAATAAATACTTGCCAATCACCAAATGAAAGTTGGTTTTGGTGAGTAAATAACTTGTAACAATTTGGTTGGAATACAAAATGCAAGATTTAAGTCACAATACCACAGTGGTTCTCATGCTTTTACCTCATCAGCATTTACACGTATCATATTCACCATCAAAAGTTTGCTAGGAACTACTTCAAAACTCTATGTGGCACATATCCACCAAAACGAGAATATAAGGAACAAAGTCATGACATGGTTCAACAACATACTTTCTATTAGCCTAAATGATGCCACAATACACAATCATTCAGGCCAAAGCTGAGGAGCGACACTCATCTCTATGCATCATGTGCTTATTAAAGTGCATGTATGACCAAAGCATTGAACAGTCTTGGTTTGTGTCCAGATGGTCTACAGTATAAATAATACCCTCCACGACCTCAGCGCTCAGCACAGTCGAAGCATTAGCCCTGAACTTCCTCACCAGATCCTCATGACTAAGAGGTTTCCTCCAGTGACCGTAAAAAGTGTTGCAGCGTGCAGTAAACATTTCCCCCTGTGTTGTCTCCACTGCAATTTCGCAATACATCTTTTCAAAGCTCGAATGATTGTCTTGTGGATTTTCCAGCTGTACTTTCAGAAGCATCTCCTTTAGGGCACTCCTGTTCATATGGCTTTTGCTGAAGGTCTCGATAGTGACCTCTCCATCCAGCAGTGCGGTACAGCAGTTGAACTGGAAAGAGTGTCTGGCCTGGTGCTCGCTAACTGGAAGAGGGCAGTCTACATATCTGGATGTGGGCACTCTGAGAGTGATCTTCTTGATTTGACTGAGATCTGCATTTGGGCATTTGTCCAGAAATTTCGCCCTTGCTTCTATTGCTGCATCTGCCACCCAGTGCATCCCGAGATGGGCGGGAAAGCGCTTCTGTGCAATGTTCTGGTCTTCTAACACCCACCTATAATGAGAAGTAGGGGTGACCTCAGCCAGTGGGTGAGGGACATAATCTGGATAGAAGGCCCCGAAGCCTGATTCCAGATCCAGAATCTGTGTGTTACCCTCAAGGCTGAGGAGAGCGAGTCGGGTGGCCTCCAGACCCCCTCGGGCAGCATTGCCCATGTGGAGAGGTTTGGTTTGAGTCGCAGCATTTGCCATGGGCGCTCCAGCAGATGAGCAGGCTATCGCTAGAGCTGCTATGCTCTGGGCCGCTGGGAGACCCAAAAGTTTAGCCGTAGCTGCCGCACTGCCCATAACCCCAACAACTGCAGGCGGGTGAAATCTGAGAGGGACACATGAATCAGAATAAATATCTAATAAATAAAAAATATTTATTAATCAGCAAAGGTGAGTACAGTCATATGGTTTTGCATTAAAATCAAATTCCATTAGAACAGTTAAAACAGTTAGAAATGTACATTGCTGTTCAAATATTTGGAGTTGGTAAGATTTTTTTGGAAAGAAAGTAATACTTTTATTTAGCAAGGATGCATTAGATTGATCAAAAGTGATATTAAAGACTTACATTATTACAAAAGATTTCTATTTGAAATATTATGAAATATTCGATCTAAAAATCTATTCATGAACGAAAGAATACAAAAAAAAGTGTCACATTTTTAACATTGAAATAAAAAAAAAATGTTTCTTGAGCAGCAAGACTGGAGTAATGATGCTGAAAATTCAGTTTTGCGTCACAGGAATAAATTAACGCAGTGCTTCTAATTGCTTTGATATTTCAAAAATACACCCTGAAGTTTCAGTTTCATCCCCAATTACTAAAATTGAAAATGCCTATTATGTAAATTTGAAAGTCAAAATCGCATGATTAGCTTTAAAAAAAATTTTTTTTAACTATTTTTATTAAATATTTCATTTAAATGCATAACTGTACACTTTAGAAAACACTGTTACCTTTTGGGAATGTTGTGTGCCTCTTTAGAAAACCTCAGGAGTCTCCCCTGAACCTCTATGCCTACATTGAAAGCCAGCAACAGCTCCAGGCCAGAGGGTTTAACAGGCAGAGTTTCAGCCAGTGCCAGAACAGCTGGCAACACAGCACCAGAGGGGTGAGTGGCTGGATGCCAGGTGTCATCAAAGTCCATAGAGTGTACCTAATTTATCACAGGAACACATTCCATTATCAGTCTGAGAAAACACACATGTGCTTTAGCATGACCTGCTTGATTATGACGAGTAAATGATTGTTTTATCACAAGTATATGTATTTATCAGAGTATTTATTTAAAATGACCTACCGCAACCCCATTAACAAAGGCAGCATACTGAGGTGGAAGAGATAATCCTGGTCTTCCCCAGACCTTGCTGTTTTCCAATGCTTGCTGCCTCTAAATTATAAATTACCAAAAAGAAATGTGCATTAAGCATAAAATACATCAAAGAAGGACCAATTAACAATATTCCTCTATGCAAACACCATCCTTACTTGGCTGCACTGAAGTACTGTGTTAAAGACTGGGGTGCTGGTTCCAAGCAATCCCACTCCCAGCGTGTCCAGTATCATTCTCTTGCTCCTCCTGATCACTTCATCGGTCAGATGAGATGTGCTCAGACAGGAGACTGCTGCCCCAAAACTCTCAGTAACTCCCTGAGAATATAATAATAATAATATTGCATAGTACACAAACAGCACAAATACACATTGGATGCATTTGAATTTTAAATGTAGCAAAAGAAGAAATATATGTGTAAAACATAGCTGGATGAATGATCTAACATTGCTTTATCATGCAAAGAAATAAGTCAGTACCTTTCTGATCATTGTGTGAGGTCTGAATCCTGCTGTGACTTCAGTGTGGCAACATTCGCCTTATATACTAATGTTCCTGTTACTAAAACTGGCTCACCAACCACTACTTTCCCAAGGTTACTTAACCACAATAGCGTGGAGTGCATTGTTTCACAATTTGCAACTACCTAATGGCATTAAATCACAATTTAAACTTCGCACAAGAATATGACAATTTTTTTATCATACTGTATGTTTTGATTTTACAATATATTTCCACAAAATAAAATTAGCAATAAAAAAAATTAAGCATAAAACGTAAGACCAACAAATTATGAATAATAATAATTATTATTATTATTATTATTATAGAACTTGGCTTACACATTAACACATTAACATTGATCAGATCATTGTCTACCCAGAAAAATATTCTCTTTTTACAGAAAATGAAAATCACTTCATGGAATCAGAGTGCTTTCATTGAATGGAATTGAAAACAGGACCATCAAATCACATGATATTAGGATATGACATTATATTTCATGAACTTGTATACACAGTGTGCATCTCCAGCATTTGTGAAATCTGGAATTTCTTTTGCAATTGTTCTGTCAGTCTCTGGTTCCTCATAGTGTCACATGACATGAGTGTGACCCGTGTGAAGTGAAAGAAATATAGGCTATTGTATTGTTTAATGTATTTTTGTAGACAGTATTAAATTACTGAACTTTCCAGTGGTTAATGCCATCAATATTTACATGACAGTTTTCAAGATTCTAAGTTTTGGATTTATTATTTTAGTGTCTTCCAAGTGTTTTATTGAACAGTTTAAAGTCAGTTTTCCTGATGCTTTAACGTCATTCTTGTTCAATAAATGACTTAATTTCCCATTAATATTTTTTTATTATGCATGAATCATTATGCAGCTCATCATTTTACATGCTGTATGACCTGAATTGGGTGACAAGTAAAGGTGTTAAATGTGCAACTGGTGCTCCGGGATTGAAAAAACACTGTATAGAAACATATGTTTTATATTCTTTAGAGTTATGGAATAATTCATTTACTTGGGGTTTACAATATTATATAACACTATGTTATAAAGTGGTGAAGTCTTCAGTTCCTGTCTTACTAGTGGACAGAACCATGGTGCGACCTTTAATTTCACCCTTAGCCCCTTCTGGTGTACAGATGCAAGCACAGCCTTTAGCTCCAGCCAGGGCCCGTTTTGTCTGACAGTTAACCTCTGCCTCACTGAACCCTGGAGCTTCTGCCTCCACCTTCAGTCTAGAGGTTTGCTTGTATTAAGCCTACAGTATATATTTATTGCTGGTGGGATGTTGCATTCATGGATTGTAAGAGACTGTTTCTTTTTCCATAATTTGCTAGTGGTCTCTTTATTCAATCATGTGTTATTGCTGTATAAAAACAGTATATTTTAATTAAAAAGCTATTTAACTGTCCCTCAAGCATGTCTGGATGAGGTTTTCTAGTTAAAATTACTTGTATTACATTGCTGTATGTGCAATTATATAAATTTAGAGTTTGATTTCACTTTAATTGTACTTTTTAAAATTAAAACACAATGCATTGCAAAGTACACTTCTATGTTCTCTTTGTAACTTTATTTCAAATCAGGATTTTGCTGATAGCTTAACATAAATGAACTGTCATACATTACATTTTGACATTGAAACAATGAGTTTTTTTTTACAGGGTTAGATTTAATAGTTTTGATAAACCAGTGGAAACATAATGGCTGACTCCACATATATAGGCCTTCGGCAGGGTATTGCCATATTTAATTTTTGATGAAAATGAAATGCAGGCTGTGAGGGATGGAAGTACATGCGTTCAATGGATTGTAGGCCTACTATTGCTTAACAACATACTAATTGTTCAGCTGATGAAAATATCTTCCCTAGAGAACAAAAATTACTAGACAAAAACTAACCTGACTAAATTCCGATGTAATACCTCTAGATGTCCCTATTCTCCTTTGTCATGGAGCGCATGGGAGAAAATGTCAATACTGTAATTTATTAGATCATGTTTATCCTCTGTGTGTGGGGAGAAGATTCGTTAAGCCAAATGTCTTTGCATTTTTCCATTTATTATCTGCATTTAAGTTTAATGTATATCCTTAAAACATGAGTTTTCAAGAAACATCAAAAAAGACTCAGTGGAGCATCTAGCAGGCACTGATCATTGACAGCAGGAGGCACGACACCAGTTGGTCCCATTTTGCCAATGAAGCGTTAACACCAGCCGTCTTCTCTCCCCTCCCACAGCCTATTTAAACATACATTTGCCCTTATCTTGAGTCTTTAGGAACCCCGTTGCACACAGAATAACTAGCATCTGCTGTTAAAGAGACGTGATGGCTTTGGCAGATCCCGAGTGCGGAATATCAAACGGCGCGGATTCCGCCTCCCCGTTTTCTGATATTGTTGAACTAAACGTGGGAGGACAAGTGTATGTGACACGGCACACGACTTTAATAGCCGTACCGGATTCTCTCCTGTCGAACATGTTTAGTAAGAAAACACCGACCGAGCTGGCACGGGATAGCAAAGGTCGCTTCTTTCTGGACAGGGACGGCTTTCTTTTCCGCTACATTTTAGACTACCTACGGGATCTAAATCTGGTTTTGCCTGACTATTTTCCAGAGAAGAGCAGATTACAGCGGGAGGCTCAGTTTTTTAAGCTGCGGGAGCTGTCCAAGCTCTTGAGTCCCAAAACGAGTAAAGACAACTCCATCACCGATGAGATCTGCCAGAGTGACTCGGAGGAGCCGAGCGCCACTCCGCTGGTGGGACCCGACGCCTCGCGCACGCTCTCCGTCGCCAGCACCGCTCATTCACCTTTCTTGGAGTCCAAAAAGTCGGGCTACATCACAGTCGGTTACCGGGGCTCATATACAATCGGTAGAGACATACAGACAGACGCCAAATTCAGGCGGGTCGCGAGAATCACGGTGTGCGGGAAGACTTCTCTGGCTAAGGAGGTGTTCGGAGACACTTTGAACGAGAGCAGAGACCCGGACCGGCCTCCGGAGAGGTACACATCGCGCTATTATCTGAAATATAATTTTCTCGAGCAGGCGTTTGACAAACTGTCAGAGTTTGGCTTCCATATGGTCGCGTGCAGCTCCAGTCGCGTGCGCTTACTCCAGCAGTGACCCAAACGAGGACAAAATCTGGACAAGCTATACAGAGTATGTTTTCTGTCGAGAATGAGCCAAAATGTGTTGCATTTGATTGTGTATATAGGCATTCCACTATAAATAAAGTAAAGTAAACTTAGAGTAAGGTTTCAGCCGTCTTGGAGAGGTGTAGCCTATTGGAGTGTTTCACAAATTTCTAGTTCTTCATTATAGAACTGTCTCAGAGACTTTAACAGCCTTTAACAATGTTGCTAGAATTAACGAACGCAGAATAGCTAGCTATCATTTCACTTCCCTTTATAGCTTTTTCAGATTTGAGGGTCTATTTGTAAAAAGTCCCAGATGTGTTTTGTACTTGCTGTTCTTGTTGCATGTGTTTAAAATGAACACATGAAATATTTTTCTTCCCGGGACAATGATTTAACGGACGATTCCACTTTCAGGAAAAGTCGATTGCTGACACATTAGGCAACATTCTGGAAAGACCCTGACATTCAGCTTCCTTTGTGTTCATGAGACTGTAGATCTCAATGACACTATTCCTTGATAAGTTCAGTTGTATCTTTTCACTGTGAATAACCAACTAAAACTGAAAACCTAAGTTTAATTGCTGCCTTAATTTCTTTAGTAAAATTAAAGTGGTGACAAAGTTACCTGCGATTCGTTGCACTTTTTGACCACTTTGAATTTCATTACAGATTAAGAAAATCGAGTGGAAGCTCTTAAAACTCAAAATCAAAAGAAGTAACAACTTTGTAATATAGATATTACAAAGATATTATTATTTTTTCAAGTAAGTATTACCTTGTTACAGCATACAGCTGTATTGTACTGAATTTTGCACATATTTTGTTTGGGCAAGAGTGGGAATTGTTTTTTTGTTTTGTCTTAGGTTTACTGTTTCTATGTCTGAATTACAACAAAGTTCTCCTCTTTATTCCAGGATTGTAAGCATCTGTTGTCTATTCAAAAGTTGATCATACAATAAATTATAATCTGTTATAATCTTTCAGCTTCAGTCTTAATTTTATTTGTTTCCGGTGTGTCTTGTGCAGCTCTAAAGGCTGGAGGGCTAAACAAGAACATGTGTAACTAGCTGTTGAACAACCCATATTTACTCTTCTGTTTGGTACAAATGCATCCCATGCTTTAAGCTTTTTTTTTTTTTAAATAACTTTTTTGTGGCATTGACGTTGAAGAGGGTTTACTGTAAAAATGCATGTTTGAGTTTAAATAGGAAAAATGCTAAAATAGTTTTAGCAATAACATAAAACATAAATTTTTAGCATAACCTTTGCCTAATCTCATCAAACGATGATAGAGATTGAGGGAAAAATGTAATTACAAGGAAATAACTGGGATTAACAAATCAGTCCTCAAGATTGCTTTTTAGATGGATGAAGTATTATTAACTGCTCTCAAGAGGTTTTCGGGTCAGCCAAATTATTTCAGTGGCCTGCTCGTGGATCATTGCCAGTATTAATGAATACAATAATTGTACCAGTGTACAATAGTTCCCTTTCCGTTTTTTTGTGACACAAATGTTGTTGAAATGCAGATGGCGCAGCTGTGCACAAATTTGGTGGCATTATCATTTCGAGTGTAAATAATGAAAGGATCCAGCTGCAAGATTAAGGTTACAGAACGGGTCTCTCTGTTTACAGCCAGTGAAGGTCCTCTATTGCATTTGCATTCAACAATATATACTAAAACATTTAAAATTTCTGTTCATTACATATAAATTGGGGTAGGAATTATTTGAAAATTGGGGGGTGGACAATCCTTACACTCATTAGTCTTCTGTATATAAGTATCCACTAAGTTTTTCAACACACAAGTACGCTATTTTTTGCAACTAAAACAACAGGTGCAGT